CTCCCAGGAGCTCTGCCATGAGCGTAGCACAGGTTAAAAGAAAAAGGGGGCCACGGGGTCCCTCTTAGAAACATGCACTGCTCGTTAGCAAGCATGGGAGAAGGTGCTTATAGCAGGAAGCCCTTTGGGTGACATTCAAGTGGGTGTGGGGAAGATCTGGCGTTCTTAGAACAGAGCTACTTAAAATCGTTCCTGAGAAAATTACTTTCCTTCCCTTCTTCCCCCTTTCAAGTAAAACTAACAATAGTAAATAAGCTTGCCATATAGAATTATGGCGCTCAGGGGTCTAGAACCCCAGCAACGCCCACCGTGGAAGTGCTCATCAACACAAACGAGGTTGGAACCCCAATTTAAAAACAAAGCACAGGATGTTCTCATGTTGTCCCGATGACAGAAAGTTCTGGCACATCAAAGAAAGAAGCCAGCTAGGTTACGCTTTCATTACCACTGGGTTTCAGACCCCGTCCCCTCTGTACTCGGGGGAGCTGGGTCTGGAGCACCACGGGCTGCAGAGGGCTGGGTCACGTGGCAGTGCTGGGGTCGGGGACGGGACAGGGTGACAAAGTTCCCATGTACCAGAGAGGAGCACAGTGGTAAGAAGGCAGCTCTTTTCCTTGAACTTTGAACTCTAGAGAAAGCCAGCAACTAAATAGCTGTTTTACTCTATTATGCATTGTTTAAGTACCTTTAGCCAACTGAAGGCGTGCTTTAGCTGGTGACAAGTGACACGAACTTGCTAAAAACTGCATAGCCTAGCAGCTAGCTTTACCCTGATATTGCCATCTTAAGTAAAGGCAGGACACCTGCGACATCAACGTGCCATCTGGGAAATTCTGGAAACTCTAGGCCCTTTATCACTCTTGCCGGAAGCCCGGTTCCTCCCCAGCGCCCACTGGTCCGCCCACTCGGGCCGGCCAGCTCAGGCCACCTGCCCCATTTCCAGGAAGAAACACCTTCACCCCTGGCTCTGCCTCCGAGCCTGAGCCTCCCCTTTCACAGGCCCCCAGAGATCCCCACACTCGAGTCTTTCCTAATGAGAAAGCCACACCTTTTGTTTGCTGTGATTTTCAGCCGTGGCTGCAGGGACATTGCCCGGCCAGCTTTGCCTACTGCCCTATTGTCTGGGCCCATCCCAGGGCAGTTTGGTCAGACCTGGTTCAAAGGCCCCAGGTCACTGTAGTAAAGAACCGAGGTGGAAAACCACTACTTGAAGGGGTGTCCTCCCACCCCCCCCCAAACTAACCTCTGGTGTGACACAGCAGAGAGAGAAATGGTGACGCAGATGCTGACTCAGGGTCACGTGTCAGGTGCCTCCATCAACCCCGTAATCCAGTCCATGACCAAATGGTTCAAACAGCAGCCCCTCACTTGCCTGAAAAAAACTAGACTCTAGAAGTTTAGGGAGGAAAGAGGGGAGGTTAACGCACTGATAGCTTCAGCCTTGCTCGGCCCTTCTGGAACAATTGTCCACAGGTACTTAAATAGCCTTTAATTTTTAAAATAGTCACTGAACTGACTTGTTTCCTTCCTCCCAGTGGCTCTGCTTTTCGGTACTTTGAAGTCATAACTCACCTGCCTGGACCCTCTCATGAAAGAAAATCAGCCACGGATGGACGCTTCCACAGAGAGAGTTTTTATCTGGACCTCGATTATGGGAACATTTACTTAAACCAATGATTGTAGCTGAAAATAATGATACCGTTTGAGATTGTAAAAGATTTGCATATCATTAGACTAAATTCGAGTGAGTCACTTAACCCTCAACAAGCTCAAAGAAAGCATAAAATCTGTAAATAATATACACTTTTTACTTTTACACACGGTCCTCTTTAGAGCAATACTGAATCAGGAAAATAGTGCAGGGAGGTATTTAACAGGTGAGCAAACATTCAGTTGACCTCAAAGGACACAAGGTCCTTGCTGGGAATACTGAAAGCAAGGTCAAGTTGAACAGTGCAGCTGTGACGTTTACCAAACAGCAGCTCAGGCAGGGTTCATCGTTTCCCTGGAGTAAAATCAAAAACAGGACGGTCACAAAGTGACCTTGTCAAGGCATCTGAAGAAGCCAGGTGAGAATGCTCACCTCTGTCATCCAGGGTTAAACAAGGGACAGGTTTTAGAGGGTACCGACTGGTTAGGAGCGAACCTTCTGAAATCTGAGTGTCCTGTATACTGAGGGACTCTACTCCTGGTCAGCAGAAGCTGCACCGGGAGCCAGGCGTCCCGCTTGCAAACCAGCCGTGAGGACGACAGACGGAGCCACTCGCCGCCCGCCCCAGTGCTCCCCGAACTTGGCCACCTGTAGCCTTTGTGCATGGAGTTGCGGGCACAGGCGCGGTGTCTATAGAAACGACATGAGCTTGTTTCTTGGCTTTGCCTTGGGAAAACGCTAACCTTATAAAACTGTTGCCTTACCTTCTGACAAATGTACTGTTAAATAAAGAGTTGCCTGGGCAGCCCACGTGGTGGTGTGCTGTCCTTCTTGGAGGGGCCCTCGCTGGGCACCCCCCGCCCCGCAGTGTTTCCTCTCTCGAGGTGTGACACCCCTGAACTCCCGCGCTGGGAAGAAGAGGCGTCTGACCTGTCACATCCATGTGGAGCTGTGCATTTTTTAAAAATCCAGTTCAGAAGCTCTCACAAGGGGCTCTCGTGTCTCCTGCTTCCTGGCCTGTCCTCGGTGCAGGCATTTTATCAGCACCGCCTGCCGCTTGAACCTCACTTTGGTTGGCTCCCACCGGTGTGGGGACAGGAGAGCCGAGCGGACAGGCAGACACGTCACTGGTCTGTCGGTGATCCTGCAGGATCACAGCAACAGCAAGGACGCAAGATGACCGGAAATGGGGTAAGCCCAGCCTCATGTTCCAGGAAAAGGTAGGAAGGTGGGTTTCCCAAAGTCACCTCCAATGCGTATAAGTTCTTCCGGTCTGTGCGTGGTGTTCGAGGGCCCAGAGAAGACTGTGCACGTGACCGAATATGAACAGGACCGTGACTGTGAAGGTTCAGTAATCCCCCGGGGGACGTGGTCCTCCCCATCCGGCAGCTCTGTGTTGGGCTGGAGTCAGGCATTCGAGTGACTAAGGACTGAAGGTGCGCAAGAGGAGTGAGGCCGGGGGCCAGGGAGGGGAACATGGGGACTAACGTGGCTGGAAAAATTGGACAAAAGGAAAACAAAGATGCCCAAGTGTTAATGGTGGTGACACACACACACACACACACACACACACACACACCCCACTTTATAGCCCCTTTTCGGTACTTTTAAATATCTCTACAAGGAGCTTTGAAATAAGGATACTCTGATGATAAAATAAGTGGAAAACCAATGACATTTAAACTTAGGGCTAAAGAAGTACAAGAGAGATGACGGCGTTACCCTAATTTTCGCATCTTCCCTTTCCTAACGTGAGGTCTTGAACGTACCGAGGGCATTCACACGCAGTGCCCGCACGACCTCCCTCAGCTGTGGGACCGGCACGGGGGCGATGGGACTCCAGCCCGTCTCAGACCAGGAAGACGAGGCCTGGCAGTGGGACGAGGGCCCCGGGCCAGGTCATGCGACTGGTCAGCACGGCCGCCGGCCCGGGACAGGAACCACATGGCATCAGCTTCCTGTTGCTGCAGGAACAGATGAGCACAGACCGGAGGCTAAGACATGCCCACTCTCTCACAGTCCCGTGGGTGAGAACCCAACGCCGGTCTCACCCGGCCCACTCGCTCCTCACGGGAGACTCGAGGAGGAGGCCTCCATGCCCACTCGGGCAGGCCGAGGCCCCCCGATTTCCTGGTGGCTGTCACTGGGGAATGTGGTCAGTGTCCCCATTCAGTGGGTCATGAGCCTGTTCATCTTCGCAGCCGGTGATGGCAGGCAGAACCCTCTGCACACTTCAGGTGTCCCCACCTGCCGCTCTGCCTCTCCTGCTCGGGCGGACTCGTGGGATGGCCGGGCCCCCTGCCTCATGCAGGACATTCTCCCTGTTTTAAGGCCAGTGGATTAATAAGCGTAATTATATCTGAAAAGCCCCTCACACGGTACTCAGTGTGGGATGGAAAAACCAGGTGGTCTCAGCCAGCTCGGGCCACCATCACAAAGTGCCGCTGATTTGATGGCATAAGCAGCAGACATTTACTTCTCGCGGCTCTACAGGCTGAAGTCCGAGATCGAGGTGCCGGCAGATGACTGGGTGTCGGGTGAGGACGCTCCTCCGGGACGGCAGCCTCCCCGCACCCACACAGGGAGGAGGGGTGGCCCTGACCCTGCCTCTTACACGGACACGGACCCCATCATGGTCCCCACCCATGACCCATGCAAACCTACGCACCAAAGGCCACACCTCCAAATGCCAGGGCACCGGGGATTAGACTTCCATGAGAATTTTACAGGGACACAAACAGTGTGTAGCCCCTGGGGACAGCAATGTGGGGGCGGAGGGGAGGGTCAGAATCCTGCCCACATGCATGTCCCCTGACATTAGTTCACGTCGTCCCTAGTGCCCCGTCACTCCGAAAACCAAGGTGCCTTTCCTCTGCCTTTCCTGCTGAATTCAGCTTTCCTAAAAATGTGCCGGGAAACGGGACCACTGGTTCTTTTCATTTGTATCTTCAATTAAAAGACATAGTTCCACTGAGCAGAACGGGCCCCAAAACCACTCATGAACTTGGTGACCTAACAAACAACGTGGAGCCTTGTCTGTGTCAGTGTCCGTCCCCAGAATCAACGTGTGTAACTCTGCAAAGCAACATAAAACGAGGGCACAGTCTGTTCTCATCGCCACGGTCTCTAAGATCTTCAAAAACAAAAACAAAGGCGGACCCCAAATTCTCCATCGCAGACCATCCCCAGACTCACGGACGCCAAAACCAAACATGTCCTGCAGACAAAGACACGCCCCTCGCACTTCATCACGTGGCTGGTAAATCTCACCTTCTGTCTGGGGACGAGGTCTCCACGGCTCATGACCTTAAACAAGGCCATGTGCCTGTGTGACACGGAAAACTGACACCAGAGAAAAGCTTACAGTCCAAAAGTTTAATTTCATTACAATTGTTTTTAAGGTCAGCTATGATCTTGACAAATAGTATGGGTAAGTTTATACCAAGTGGCTAATTTCCAAGATACAAAAGGCAATAAATATTCAAATTCAGCCTAAAAACGAGATTCTCAAACTAATTTATCTGTAGTGTAGCTTCGTTTCAATATTTCAAAATAGGCATCATTCTGCAAATGCTACAAGAACTCATACAGTAAGTTTATTGCTCACTGGCTGCCACCTGACCGCCCTGCACCGAGGACCCGAAGTATGCGGCCAGCTGGTGCTGGGCACGATCGGGGCGGCGCCACGATGGCACTGGTCCCTTCCAACAGGACACGAAGCTGACTTCCCCGTTGTGCAATGAGTGGCCCCGTTTCCTGCGGAAAACAGACTGGAGCCGAGGACCTCGCGTGTGCCCCGGGGCAGCTGCCCCGGCGCGGGAAGGCCGGCTTGGCCACAAGCTCCACTTCTCGGGGCCAGACGTCCCCTACTACCAGCGACCTCTTCAGTCCTTCATTTCCTTCCAGAGCACGGTCGTTAAAATAAGTCTTGGGAAGTTTGTGCCCCAGACAATCCTACTACTTCTTAGTGATAACAGAGATTAATTCTTCACTGGCTGCAGTTCTATAATGTGTCAGGCCAAGCTCCTTTGTCTCGGTTTAATTCTCGGGTAGAGCTGTAAGAGAGTTTATAAAACATTTACATGCGTGCAAACACATGGGAGCATAACAGAACCGTGAACTACTGGGGGAGGGGCGATGAGGCAGGAAGGCGTGAAGCTGCGGAGAGGACTCCTCCTGCCACGTGACGCCCAGAGCTGCCCGGGGACACGGACACTCTCTGGATCAGCTCTCCCGCCAGGACATTCGAAAGGCACAGGTCCCCACACAGTGACACCACCAAGCCACAGCGACAGGACCGTCCACGCTGCTCGAAGCCCGAGCTCCATGTCACAGCCTGCAGAACACACGCCCAGTCTCCTGAGCCCGGGGCCTGGGCAGGCAAGTGGCAGCGAGCTGTCTGCTTCTGCTTCTGCACAGTCGGAAGTGGAGAGAGACCGCGGCCTCTGTCGGCCTGACCCACAGGGGACGCGGCCCCGTGCAGCAGACTCGAGGCCGTGGGGGTCCGGGGATGGGAGCACGGGTGGGGCGCTCTGTTCCGGGCCTCCGTGGGTCTGCATTCTCCCTGACGGCCGCCGCTGCCGGAGCGTGGACGCCAAGGTCACGAGCTCTCCAGTCTGGGAGCCCAGAGCAAGTGGAACTAGGGACCCCACTGGCACCCAGAACAAAGGCCTTCCGCCTCCCTCTCCTCCCAGAAAGGGAAAGAAGGTTTTACTGAAAGAAAGTGGCCCGACATCCAGCCAAAACTGAAAACCCTCAACTGATGGGTCAACATTACACAAAGGATTATTCTTCTGAAAAGATACTTAGCCAATATAATACTCTAAACTCACACCTGAATCTCTGGCTAGAAAGTCAACATTTATATATTTTTTTATGTCAAAGAAACAAAAAAATTGTGTGGGGACCACGCCCATCCAGAAAAGATTTCCAAAGGACCGTGGATAGTTCAACACTGGACCGAAGTGACGATCTCCAGTCCCGTCCACCGAATCCCGACCCTCGGAGCCGCACGCGTGAGGCAGGACTGAGCCTCCGCCAATGGCTTTCCCGCTGAGGAACGGACCGTGCGCCCCACGTGTCCTCATGTGCAGGACGGCTCTGTTCGAGAACCGGACACGGTCCACAGGAGCACCAAGCTCTCGCGGGGAGACGCGCTCTCCTGGGGAGGGAGGCTGCAGCAGAGCCACGTGCCGAGGTCTGGGCCGGCCGGAAGCGGCAGCCCGCGGGCGTGACTACCCAGACGGGACACTGAATGACGGCCCCCCTGTATCTGTGTCACCCAGTCACTTACAAGCCAGGTACAGGGCTCCATGGCCAGGGTTTTGCCCTTGTCACCCTCCTCTGCCATCCACGTCACGGTCACAACAAATGCTGCCGTCACGCAGGCAGCAGTGAGGACGGAGGAGGTCACCTGGGCTGCACACCAGGCAAACAGCCCGGGAGGAGGCACAGTCAGGAGGCGGCGGCGCCGCCCACAACCCACACAGCTGGGGAGCGATACGGGGGTTGCCTGACTGGGCAGCACAGCCTGGTCCATGGCCTTGATGCCGGAGGGAAGCCCAGAGCGGGCACAGACCCCGTCTGGCCAGCAGGTGATGAGAGCACGGACAGAACTACCTCCCTGCTGCGTACCAGCCACCCGCTCCATCCTTCCTCCCAGAGCTCCCCACCTTCCGGCCGCTGCCCTGGGCACCCAGGTCCCAGGGCTGCAGGGCTGGGGAACAACGTGGGGCCAGCGCCCCTGCCCTGCATGCTGTGCGGCGTGGGCTACACCGGGCCCTCCCGCCTTGGACTCGCCTTCCCTCCTCACCAACAGATGTTGCAAGCACTTGTCCCTTAAACTTCCATCTCAGTCCCCCGAGGAACCTTGCCATTTCCCTCCCTCTCTTTCATGCACCCACCATGCCCCTGAGCTGCGCACCGTGTGAGGGAACGGTGGGACCCGGGAAGAGCCTGGGGGGGGGGGGTCCTGAAAGACGCCATTCCCACCCCTCCTCTGTCCAACCACCGGGCCTGTTCTCTGAAGACGCTACTGAGGAGCTTCACCTGACGACGCCCGCCCTCCACGTGTCCATGGTTGACGCGACCTTAGTTTCTCGGCTTTTAAGAAACTTAAAATCAAATAGTAGAGCAAGCAGCAAGAACCCCATTCAAGCTCACTGCCAGATTCACAAATCCCAATGGACACAAACGTAAAATTCATTTCCCGTGTCTCAGCTCGGTGACTGTCCGGAGCCAGCAGGCGTCGTTCTGTTTGTCCCTGCGTAGCCGAGCCCCAGGCCCCGGGGGGCCAGCAAGCACAGAAACATGCTGTTTTGGTCGGAATGGGAATCACTGAAAACGTGGCTTTTAGTCGAAATCTAAGACTTTCAAAATTTTAAATTCCACGTCTCGCTACTGAAGAGCCGTCTGTCAGCTGCATTGCGACCATAACGCACGGTGGTTTCCGCAGACCCCCCACCCCCCACACACATCAGAAGAGCCCAGGGGTGGGAATGACTCACCCCCAGCAGGTTGCGCGGGACGTAGCCCTCCTTCTCGTCCAGGCGCGCCCACCACCACTCCACCTCGTCCTCGTCCTCCCTGCGGATGACCGTCATGCAGTCTCCCTCCTTCAAGGGCAGCTCATCGTCGTTCTGCGGCTCGTAGTCCCAAAGGGCGTAGATGACTCCTTTGTTCATGATGCCCATCTTCTCCTGAACCCCTAAAATCAGGACGGTAAGAAGGAGCACAGGATACGTAACTTGGAGGATGCCCCCCTTCCGCACGTTCAGCCTTGCGGAGTCAGAGGAGGGTGGGTGGGCACTCTCGGAACATCAGTGCTCACGCCACTGCACGTATGAGACACGGATTTCCCGGGCGGGGGGGGGGGCAGCGGATGGGAGGGGACGTATGGGAGACGAGTCACCTAGGGCTGCTGGCCCTGAAACAGCCCCGTGAACCCGCCAACACCCGGCACCTCTCAAAACGAGTCTGGCGCAGAATACAGAACTTTCGAGAGCCCAGGGACAGAAAAAGAACTGTTCTAGCCGGGACACCGAACTAGTGACAATCTGCCCGGGACTTCAGAGTCCCAGGACAAGGCACCCAGGAGAACATAACCTCATTCTCTCCCTCAAACATAGAGCAGAGAGAGGACAGCGAGCACGAGTGTGTCTCCATTATGGTGGTCTTGACCGATGTCCAAAGGGGGAAGAACAAAGGAAAATACATACATAGACTATGCTAAAATGTACAACACGGCAAGTATTTTAGACGTGACTGAAAATAGGTCTGCATAGAGTCAACGTGAAAATATTGAGAACCTGAATTCTAAATGAGTGAAATCCACAGACTGTGAAGGGGGAAAGCCCCCCAAAGCCCACCTGTCAGCAGGTCAACGTCACCCACGTACGACTTCCTGCCCCAGGGGGCACCACTCAGAGAGACAACGGCCCCTAACAAGCAGGTTACAGGAGAGAAGGGAAGGGACTGGGCAAGAAGGTCCCAAGTAATGGAGAGTTCACTAAAAACAGTTGCCTCTATGTTTTTAGGAAAGCCAGGAAAATATCTGCTTGCTTCTGAATAGTAGGTTCTTTCAACTTAGGTGAATACACAACTATTCATTAGGAACTTATTATTCCGACACCATTAGTATGCCGTAGCACACAGGGTATCTCTCTTTCTCTGGGCAAAAAGGCAACAAGAAATGAAACTGTTCTGCCAATCTGAAGGGTCAGATTTCTACTAACCGGGACAAGTGAATTTCCAACTTCCCTGTTCCAACAAGACATGCAAAGCATGACAGCCAGGGTCACCAGACAATGGGCCTGGATGTACCCAAGATTCCGGAAGGTTTTATAGCTGGCCTGACCCTTCTCCGTTTGGGCCCAATCTCTGACCTGACTGGTGTGCACAGAAGTTTTTAAAAGTCCTGTCCATGCTGAAGTAAAGCTCAGGGTGGCTGTTACATTAATTATAACAAAAATACATTAATATACCACATTAATTTTTAAAAAATATGTTAGCACACCAAAACTATTCTCTGATCCAGAGTTCTGAACATAAACAGAAAGAACAAACATCAACATTAGAAACTAACAGCGGAGAAAGGAGGGAACCTGGGTTTGTGGTCTCCCTCCGATGCTCTGTCCTCCTTGCGAACAGGCCCAGGGGACGGGCGGACGGTCAGTGACCCAGAGGACAGAGCCTGTGTCTTCAACCTCCGGGGCCCTGCCCGAGCACTATGACGTCCCGGGCCCTCCTCGTCCCTCCCTCCCCCTCCTCAACGCCTCTGAAGCTGAACTAAAAAGAAAAATGAACCTCGTCATCTTGCAAAGGAAAACTCCTCTTGGTGCAGAAGGAGCTGCCCAGCCTCTGGGGCTGCCCGTCCTTTCTCTCCAGGTGCGGAGCTGCCGGCACCACCAGTAGGAACCATGAACTCAAAATCAAGAAAACAAAAGGGCCCAAAAGTTTGTTCTAAAATACGTTGCCTTTGTTTGACCGTATGACCAGCCGGATTCAGCAGGAAGCCCTGGGTCAGTGGGGTTCTTATACCGACTGCGTCTTCCTCAATCATCGTGGAAGGAGGGGTTCCATTTGCTCAGAGAGGCTGTCACTCCAAGCAGTGAAGTCTCAGGGGAGGGTCTTTTGAGGACCAAAAGCTGCGAACACCCTAGATCAGGGTCCCTGACGGCAGCCGTCCCCAGGCACACACACGAGAGCTGCGTCAGTGTCCGGGACCACGACGGCCTTCCTTTCAGTGAGCAGGCCTACGCTCAATGCAGAAACAGTTTCCCAATACTAAAAGCGCTCACGAGTGACAGCCCAGAGGGGGAGGGGCCGAGAGCGGCGTGGTCACCGCCCACGGATCGCGCCGTCACATACCGTACAGAAACTGAGAGCACTGGGTGTAGCCCTCCTCCATCTCCTCGCACTTGTCCGCGGCGGTCTGCAGGTCACTGTAGGTCATGGCGAACACGGCGGCCCCCGACTCCACCAGGAACTTGCACACCTGCACGTTGTTGCAAGACGCGGCGCAGTGCAGCGGGGTCCTGCGGGGGACACAGAGGGCTGGGGGCTGCGTCTGCCGGACGCGACCACTCGGCAGGGCCTGATGCTCACACCGCCACTGCTGTTCCTCAGCTAAGTAAACCCATATTAACCTAAAACACACACGTTTCGATCTACTCGAGGCAGCTGGTGAGCAGGAACTCACGGAGACCTTCACAGAGGACCTTCGCCAGCATCCCAAACGTTTTACTGTGCGCTGGACATGCCCCCAGACCAACAATAAAGGCGGAACTGTTCCACTGCCCGAACTCGGAAGATGGGCTCGGGGACTCTCATCGGGCCCTCAAGTACATGAGATTCTGCTCCTTCACCCTGTTCTTCCCTTCGCTCGTCACGTCAGTTCCCTTGGGTACATGGCTGTAAACAGAAATGTGCTCCTGTTCTCCATGAGGCAACCAGTCCGTGTTTCTCTTCCTTCATCTCTCTTCTGAAGATGAATAAATAAAATCCTTTTTTTTTAAAGATTATTTATTTATTTAGTTTTAGAGAGGGGGGAAGAGAGGAAAAGAAACATCAATGTGTGGTTGCCTCTCATGTGTCCCCTGCTGGGAACTGGCCTGCAACCCAGGCGTGTGCCCTGACTGGGAATCAAACCGGTGACCCTTTGGTTCACAGGCCTGCACTCAATCCACTGAGCTACATCAGCCAGGGTTCTATAAATACAACTTTTTAAAATTACACCAAGAATGCTTCTCCAAGTGCTTTTTATAAGAAAAAAATCTGGAAAGCAGTACAAATGTCTCACAAGAGGGAGATGGTCACGCACGTGAGCACACCGCTGTGGAAGCACAGGGGCTATGCACACTCAGGCACGTGTGTCTCACAGGTGTGAGTGTGCAGACGTGGTTTTGGAGCATAACTGTTCCATCTGAGCAGAAAAACAGGCTGTAAGAGTGATACACCCGAATAAACACGGCGTGATCATAACTTAAAAAAACTGGACATAAAAAAAAACTAAATTTTTATATGCTTCCAAAAAAGAGCATATATTTAAAACACTTTTTAAATGGAATAAAAGACAACATTTACTATTCACTCTACTCCAGTTATGGGGGTGACAATAACTGCTAGAATCGTCATTCTCGCTACTTAATAACGGCCCATCATCCAATGAACTGAACGTTTATCACTGATTAACGCCCACGTTTTCCACGAGATGTCCTATGAAAAAGGGATTCCATGGTGAAACATATTAGGAAAGATGACAAACTGTGACTTCCCCCTCTGGAGCCACACGCACAAGGGGTGTCAGCATCTGAAGGCTCAGACCAAGTTCGGGGCCTGGCGGGGGTGGAGAAGAGCTCGCTTAGAGTTCTCAAATCTGCCGACGCGTGCTCATCAACTGCGTGGCACTTTGTGACATTTCTTATTTCTATTGTTCAAATATTAAACTTTTAAAACTCCACCAGCTTCCAGATGGCGTGTCCAGAGGGAGGACTTGCCAATTCCCCAGAAGCGTCGTCCACCACGTGCCCCCCGCTGGGTGGCAAGCAGCTCAAGGACACACGCACACCCACATCCCCCGAGAGCAACGCCGGTCCCCGGGCTGCATGGCGCCCCCAGCGCGAGCACGAGCAGAGTTCCGGGCCCCCTTACCAGCCGTCGCTGTCGGCGGCGTTGACGTTCACCCCGAACTGCACCAGGAACTTCACGACCTCCGTGTGCCCGGCACACACGGCGTTGTGCAGGGCCGTGATGCCTTCGTCATTGGGCAGGCTCGGGTCCTCCACCTGGAACGTCAGAGGGAGGACAGCCGTCACTCCGGTGGCTCCACGCCTGGCGTCCCTACTCACTGGCTTTACAGGGTCACGAAAACACACTTGCGGGTTTTAATTGCGAGTTTAAAAAAATACCACAGGAGCCAAGAAAACTGCCTAGAACGATTCTAGAAATAAGACAGACGGAATAGCCATATTAAGTAGGCATTCGCTATAAAAAGGTTCTTGAAAAACCGAAGAACACCCAGAAACTGCATCCCTACGGTCGGCGTTGTTTATTTACCCTCCAACTCCCCACCACAAATTAGTGTCTAACTAGAAGTGGCATTTTCCATGGAAGGAAAAAAAGGTCACACTAAAAATACTTTAAATAATAGGCTTCGGAAAAGTAGGGGCCACATCTGTAACTGAACACTGCCTAGTGTGAATCCATGCCTGAGCCATTTGTAAAGGAGGGTAAGGGTCTCCCCGAGAAAGGAAAGGACTCGAGAGGACCCCAGTGAAAACCGAATCTCTGCACTATCAAAACTTCACTGTCACGCCTTTAGCACCAGCAAAGCCAATTTTGGAGCGAGCTCTGGAGTCTCTCTCCACAGCCCCACCTCCCCCAAAAGAAAATTTAAAAATATAACTTCTCGGTTGTAGCTTTCGGATTAGGGCTTCACAGCAAACTCCAATACAAGGTCAAACTATTAATACAAGGTCGCGTTTAAGAATCTGACTAATGCAATCATACCTCATAAATAATCCTCTGTACAAGGTCAAATTCTCCCTCCAAAGATGAATCCAGAAGTAAAGCGAGAGGGTTGAATTTCACCCTCATTCCGTGAGCAATTCGCTCGGAACCAGTTTTACGTAAGTTTGTCCTTTTGCCCTGCAGAGGAAATACGTGGAAAATTAAGGGTCCTGGGCAAAGCGAGAGATCACCAACAAAAGGGGAGGAGTAACATCTTGGCTGAGTAAAGATGCTCGAAAAGTATATATACATTTAGCACTTTTTAGTGGAGTATACATCATTCAGAAAAGAATATAAATAATAATAGTGTAACGAATAGAGCCACGTAACCAAGTGGAGAGAACGTAAGTTTTCAAAAGCTAGTGAAACACAGGTGGTCATCCCCCACAGCATGCACAAACCACCACCTGGAGGAGTGACAGGGCTCCCAAACTGGTCCCGAGACACCGCGTTACCTACCGGAGGCAGGGCCACCTGCCCGGTGATTTCGGGCGGGCGCATGCTTCCCGAGTCTTCCCCGGGCCCCTCTGGCTCCCCCGACGGGTAGGGCGGCGGCGGGTAGGGGGGGTACTCCTCCAGGTACACTTCCAGCAGGTGGGGAGCCTCTGGATTTGGTTCCTCCACACTGTTCTGGAAACCTGGGCTGGTGTCTGGGACTCCTTCGGGCACGTAGTCAAGGCCCGGAGGAGCGGGCATGTCACTGCTCTCTGTACCGGCGTCCCCAGCTTCCTGTGGGGACAGCGCTTCAGGGGCCAGAGAGACCACCTCCTTCTCCGGCTCCGCGTGTAGATACGGGTTCGGGATCTCTGCTGGGCTCTCGGGGCCGGCAGTCGCCGAGGCCGGCTTGGATGGGTACGACGACGGCCCGGAGATGGTCTCCATGGCAGCGAGGGTGGTCCTCTGATACAGCAGCTTCTGGATGTTTGGCCCATTAGGACCCTCGGGCTCTGTGATGGAGCTCCGCTTCTTCAGGGGCCTTGGTGCGTTGGACAGTTTCTTTCGCAGCGCTTCCAAGTCGGCATCACTCTGGTTTCGGTACGGATTCGATAAGAAAGGCAGCAGCTTGGTCGGGCTGAGGGGTCTCGGGATTCTCTCGTTCTCATGGCTCTCCTGAACCGAAGGCGCGGGCTCGGCCTCGGGCTCCGGACCGCCGGGTTTGCCCTGGGTCCCGGAGTAGACGTGCTCGGGGTGCGGCTGCTGCTGGCTCTGGGCGCCAGCGAGGACAGGCTTGCCGTAGACTGGTTGCAGACGGAAACAAGCTCCGGTTAGTGTTAACTGATCACAACTGGCCAGCACCAGACAGAGCTCACAATGATTCGAGCTGCTCATAATCTCCACGTTTCTGCCGAACACCCTTCACTGATCTTTTAAAGTAGTAATCGACAAAGCAAGGCTCCCATCTCTGCCTGATAAACTTATTACAGAATCAAAACCCCACCGATTGTGACATGTGCCATTATTTTGTACACTAGTAAGAAAGATTGCCATTACGATCGTAAGAGACCGCTGACCGCGGCACCCAAATTTAACATGCCAAGAGCTAAAAGAAATGGAGAATCCATGAAAACTGGTTTTCCTTTCCTGTGTCCAGATTAAAACTGAACACACAGTCTCCCATCTTTCATAACTTTCAAAAGTAAACGCATGTGAGAAACCAGGTTTGGCTTACAAAATTATTAACAACACTTAAATTTACCAAACTGTTCCCCCCAACCTTCTAACTGTATCAAAAGCATCTAACCCCCAAATTAGCACATAGCAGTTTCCGCAGAGACTCAGGAAGAGAGTAAGATGTCACATAATTATTAATTCTTGCTGTCTAATTACGGCATCCTAGGCCACAAGGACATGCTTACTTCATGACCAGAGAGCCATTTTCTTTCCAATGAAACGTGGTGAATTTTATTCCAGTCTTATGAAACTACTGAAAGACTCGTAGAAAGAACCCAACAAGTGACCAGATTATGTACGTTTAACACAGAGTCATCTCTTTGGGCTTTTATATTTAACTAGTGGTTATGTCCTCTAGTTAAATATAAAATACAGCAGGGAGGGTTATTTCTTAAAACGACAAAGAAAAACACCCCCACACCCCACGGCGGCAGCTGTCCGATCGTCCACGCGCCAAGAAAACATCTGGTCACCTGAGGTGACCACAGAGCCTTGGGCGCCATGTCCACCCGTGAGCACCCGCTCCCCTGACCCCAGCGAGCCAGAGTCCTCGTTCTGAAGGAGCTCCCGGGTCAGTGGGGAGCAGACGCCCACGGGAACTGCAATGCAGAAGGCTATGTGTTCCTATCGATTTTATGCCTCTGTTTTAGTCACCGATTATTTTCACACCATTTCATTCTGTTACCACCGGTGCCCAGCACAGTGGCTGCTGTTTAGCAGGAACTGGAAGTTTAAACGCCCAATGAAGACCAGAAGCCGTAAGGAAACGGAACCCTAAGAACACGGGCATCGGCCACACAGGCTTCCCGACAGAGGGCAGCTCAGGTGTGGGCCCAGCACCACCCACGCAGGTGAGAGGACAACCCAGAACCTTACCGCTCGGGAAGGGCGGCCCTCGGGGGTGCGACTTGGTCAGCGCGCTCTGCACCGCCTGCTGGAAGTTCTTCCCGGGAGCCGCGTGCTGGGTGTACATGGAGTATATGGAGCTGGCCGCCACCATCTGGGGCTTCCGGAAGGGGGGAAGGAGGGCGTCTTTGGAAGGCTGTGGTGTGAACGGCCGGACAGCCGCGGCTGGTGGGCTCTCTTGCTTGGAGCCTGGAATGAGGGCTTGGTCTTGACCCCCCAGCGGTGCGCCGGGGGCCAGCAGGACCCTCTGCTGCTGCCCTGCTGCTTTGGGTTTATGTCCCATGGACGGGACGGCTGCTGACGGCGGCTGAGGATCCCCGTCGGGCCTGCTGTCCATCGGGGACGGACTCGTCCGTCCAAAGTGCGGCAGACTGATCTGTTTGGGTTTCGATGGGACGGGAGGCGGTACTTTCACATTTTTATTCACAGCCTGTGAAACACACAAAAAGCCAGGACTTACAGCTGGGCACACAGGGTGCTCCGGGTGAGCGAATTCCACCCCTGCAAGTGAACACTGAAGATGCGTGGCCTGCTCTGCTTGTTCCAAGGTCTGCTGGGGGGCGTGGTCGGCAGGGTCGCACGGGTCTCAGGTGCACACTCCTGGGACACTAATCTGTACACTGCACCGCGTGCCCATGGCCCACGTGGCGTTTTCAATCATGCAGACTTCAGTTTTCAGCCTCTGCACGGACTCCCACTTAACAAGGGACTTGAGTGACACCGCGTAACTCCCGCCCCAAACGACCTCCTCCCTGTGGCCACCTCCCAGCCGGGAGACTCCCCACCCACGGGAAACGCCTGCTGTCTCTGTGGCATCGGTGCAGAGAAGGCTGCTCTTGCTCACCAGAACTGCGTGCAGCCGGGGCCACAGGGGTCTAAACACACCCGATGTGGGGCTCACGCCACGACCTGCTAGTCAGAGGTTGGGACCCTAACACCCTAACAAAAGGACCGCCACCAAATCGCGTGACACAAACTCGGCTCCCGACCCTGAAGAGACAAGGTGACTGAGCAGCACGTGCGGGGCGTTCTCGATGCACTCCCATTTGTCGGAGATCGGAGTCTGCGGTTGTTCCCGCTACGGCGCGAGTTACACCACGGACGGGCTCAAGAAGCAGAACGTAAAATAACCGAGCGCTTCTACTTCCTAACCTTCTGGACGCAGCCTTCTGCTGCTTTCCCGCTCCCCCTCGCCTCGTACCTCGACTCCCTCGTTTTAAAGCCCGACCTCAAGCACCTGAGCATCGCGCAAGATGTCTTCACTGCTCTGGTTCTTCCTCAGAGACCCAAAGGAGGGTGGCGCGGCGGGCTGGTCGACCGTGTCGAACATGGAGAAGGGACGCACTTTCTTCTCCTTCTCCCTCAGCAGCACCTCCCCGTCATCGGCTGGAGAGGACGGGAAAATCAGGTTGACGTTCGGGCTGTTTGTGATGCAATGTCTTATCCATGTGTACGTTTCTCCCTCCTCAGTCTCTTTGAAACCCTGTGCCCACTAAATGCCTTCCTGCTTTTCAATGAGGCTGATTAAGTAAACACCCAAACGCCAAGGGGTCACCTTAACTCCCTGGCCGAACAAAGCCACTCTGGAAACACACACTGTGCCCGGCGTTAGCTCACCAGAAAATAAGCGCTCTGAGAAGGAGCACACAGCACCTTTGAGATGCCCAAACAGAAAGTTTGGGGGCAGTGCCAATGAACTTGCCTTGTTCTGGAGCACTCCCGGAGCTTTTCGGGGCAGAGGCAGAGGCCTGGCTCGGGAACAGATCTGCATTCGGACTCCAGTCAGGGCCCAGTGAATGGACTTTGGAGCCTGAAACGCAGAGAAGCACCTACAGATAACCCGGCATTCCCAAGAGGCTGTCGGTGATCCCTGCTGCTGCCGAGAAGTGGACTCTCTGAAATACGGCTTTAAATTTTCAGACTCACCCAGTACGCTCATTCAGAAAACATCAGATTATACACATTTAGTTTAAGATTCTCCCCCTCCCTCAAGCAACTGAGAATGAGTCACCGCAAACAGAAAGACTGCCGACAAGGACATGTGACTCGTTGTTGGATAAGAAAGTGCCACCTTTACACCCAGAAAACCACTTCTAATGGAGCAGACCGAGGGGCTCTGAGGTGCACCTTACGTAACGACACCCCAAGTGTGTGGGCGGCACACACGGGCGGGAACGCAGATCCTAACCCAGGACGCCGAGCAGCCTTGCCCAACTCGGTGTGCCCTGACGTTTAACTCTCAAGGCTTTTACTTCGGCCCGGCAGAAACACAAGTTCCTCTACGTGAAACCCCACTGGGCTGCACACTGCTTCCCAGGGGTAACTGTGACGAAGCAATAGTTTTCAATAAAGGCAGCGAATTTCTGCACATGATAGTGGTTGAGAAATAAAAAGACAACACTGGCTGTTATTTTTTTTTTCTTCCGCGACTTGGAAGGAAGCTTCCCCTGCTGTTCCCGCAGCTCTCCCTTTGTCACTGTCCCGAGCACGGCCACCCCAGCCTGCGCTGGAGGACAGCCCGGAACGCAGAGACCACTAACTCGGAAGGGAGCCGCCATCGTTCTCTCTGCACCTCCCGCCACACTGGCCTTTCTGCTGAAAACGGTCAGCGGGCAAAGCCTCCATCCAGCACAAGAGCAGCTGAACACACCCATTATCCACCGGCAGAGTGGACTCGCACCCCACCCTCTGCGAAGACAACAGACACCACTGACCACACAGAGGGTGTCTTTACAGAAAAAGAAACGTTCTCAAGTCACTAACATGGAATCACGACTTCACTATTCACACGAAGGCATTCGAAACAATGTTCAGATTTGCAAAATTACTGCATTCTATTTCGCTTCCTCAATAGAACTATATTATTTAGGATTATTATTATCTAGTGTATTACTATTTAGTGTTTACCTTTAGCTTGCGAGGCCGCCCCGGATCGCATGTTGGGCAGCGTGTGGACTTTCATGGGCCCCTCGGAGGGCTGCACGGCCAAGAGGCCGTCGGGCAGAGCCGGCTTCACCAGCAGCTCGGGCCGGGGGGGCATCCGGGGCATGGTGGATGACTGGATGTAGGGGCCAACGGCAGCCACGCGGCTGGGTGCCGACACGCCTTGCTGGGGCAGGTTCCCATCCGGTGACACCTTCGGAGAGAGCGCAGGTCCTTGAGTGTGACAGGTCAGGCTGCAGCAACTCAGAGAAGCCCGGGAAGTTGGCAGAATGCTTCCAAGTCAGCTCTGGCCAGAGGGTCTGCTACAAACGCCCCCAACAAAAACCCTGCAGAGCCGCCTCGCCCCCCGAACTTTATCACACGGATCAGTAAGAAAGCCGGAGCCACAAAAGCACATTAACAGTGGATCATCCTCTGGGCAGCTCTGGGCACTGCCTGCCTGCCTGCCTCCCTCTCTCCTGAGGGCACCGTGTGTACTGGCTGTGCCACAGCTGCTATGACAACGGACCTCGCTGGGCTGGCCGTCTGCTCCCCGCCCCCCGGCCCCCAACACAGCAGCCCACTCACTGGAAGGTTTTCTTTCTGCTGGAGCGCCGCCTTCTTCTTCCACAGCCGGTCCCTCAGCTCGTTCACACGCTTATCCATAACGGCCACCTCTGAATTGCGCTTATTCAAACACTCCCTCTGCTGTTGCAGCTTGGCGTTCTGCTCCTGGTTCAGCTGGTTTCGCAGCTGAAGAACATGGGGGGAAATGGCAAAAGGCAGCCAAGGAGGAGGAAGAGGACTTTCTCCCACAGAGTCGCTCGGGCCACTGTTACATAATTTCTAAAAGTGTTCGGCCCCGCCACCCCTCCCCACTTCCCACCTCCAGGTTCACAGTTAAGCATTAGACCCCCCCCCCCCGGCTGTGGTTCTGAGGAATGCCTCGGGTTTCCTGTGGAAGGGACTGTAAAGGTTATTCTGGATGCTTTGGGGCTCAGGTCTTCCTCCCCGCAACCCCTTTAAGGAAGAGGCACAGAAATCCAGCACTTCCTGCCACTTGTAAGGACAACTCTGCGGCGCCTGAGCAGGGTTCGCTCCCAGCAGCCCACAGGGTACCTGCAGTTCCTTGTACAGCCGGTCAAGCTCAGCCACCGCCGACTGGGTGTCATGGTGGCCATCAATCCGGCCGTTCTTGAGCATCTCGAGCTGCCTTGTAAGTTCCTCCACTTTCGACATGGCCAGGACCAGCTCCCTCTGCTTCTGCTGGAACAGACTATTCATCTGTTCAATTTCCTCCACTGGAGTGAGAAGGGAAAAGGCAACAATCGTCGAAAAGGAAAGCGAGAATGGACCACTTCCCAGGCAACCAGGCTTCACAATGAACTTTGTGATGAAAAGTAGAGGAATTTTCCAGAAATGTCCTGGCGCCAACCTAGTTCTTTTGTAAGCAGCTGAAACCAACAGAGACAGCTCAAAATATCTATGCCTCATTCTAAATGTGTTTTTAGCAGTATTTGTATTATGAATATAATTAAACATTAGACCTGGCTGGTGTGGCTAAGTGCATTGAACGCTGGCCTGAGAACCAAAGGGTCACTAGTTCAATACCCAGTCAGGGCACATGCCTGGGTTGAGGGCCAGGTCTCCAGTAGGGGGCACACTAGAGATAAGTACACACAGATGTTTCTCTCCCTCTCTTAAAACCTTTTAAAAAATGTATAATTAAGCATTAAACTCCATTAATTTTTGTAGACTTTTTAACCTCCGTTTTATAGTGGTAGATGGAGCTATTAAATCACTAAAATTGTAAATAGCCTAACCATAAATGGAGCTAATATACCACTAAAACTCCTTGCCTTGCCTACTTGTCAGTCAAAATATATTTAGAAGAAAAAACAAACTACTAGTACATTTTCCAAAGGTAACTTAAGAACCTTGTTTAACCATTTGACAGCTGAAGTCGAGTCAGGGGAACCAATGAATTACACTTAAAAAAATTATTTCAAAGTGATCTACATGCAAAGTCTCATCTCATTCTTCTCACTACAAATTTATATCGTGCCCCCCACCCCCAGAGCTTCACGGGGCGCCTTGAGGACAGAGCGGAACTGGGGGGAACGACTCACCGAGTTTGCCGTTGCTCAGTCTCTTCTGCTCCACGTGGCCTCTGAGCGCCCTCACCTTCCTGAGCTTAGCTTCCTGGTTCTCCGCTATCTCTTTCAGCCTCTTTAGCTTCTCCTGCTCGGCAGCCTGCTGCTGCTGCCGCTGATCCTGCTGTTTCAAAAACTTTAAGCGCTGTTCCTGAGGATAAAAGCCACCAGCGGGCCATTATCATTTTCAGCGGGGATATCACTAACCCAAAAATAACCCACCCACCACCCCGAGATGCTGAGACTGGGGCGCAGCAGTGCACTGCTCTGTCCTGGAAGTGGTCACCGGGGCCACTTGAGAAGTGTGTTTCAGACGGGCCTGGCTGGGCCCGACCCCAGAGTCCTTTGGGGGTAGTGCATTTAATCCAAGCAGCTCTTACGCAGCGAGCAAGCAGTGAGCCTTGAACTGGTCCTCACGAACTGCAGCTACACGTGTAAAAAGGCGCTGGTGGAGAGATGGGAGGCGGTCTCGGAGAGCTGGGACACGGTAAGCTCTGGAGCCGCATTTGCACTCAGGCCCTCAGGCCCGAGCTCTGCCCCCTTTCAGCTTTGGGCGGCTTACCGAGCTGAGTGTGCAAGTGTGTTTCCTCGTCTCCAGAATGGACGGTGCACGGCAACCACCCCACAGGGCCATGCCAGGGTTAAATGAAAACCTCTGTGCCTTCCCTGGTTATAAATATACATGCGATAAACACACTCAGATAAGGAACATGGTGCTACTCACCACCTTTAGGAAAGTGCACTGAGCAACCAAAATTTTATTCCTATTATATTAAAAAATTTAAGTAAAACAGAGCTCTACAATTTATAAATTTCTCAGATTAATAAGCCTCAATCATAAACAACACACAAATAGTCTCAAAATAAGACTCCCAACGCAAGGCTAGAGATTTCTTCTGCTAAACATTTTATTTGAATTTATGTCTCTGCTACTCAGGGAATGAGAACCTCACAGGATCACCTAGGAACTTGTTAGAAAGGCAAAATTTCAGACTGCGCCCCGGGCCTGCCGAATCGGAGCCTGCATTTTTAACAAGATGCCCAGGTGATGCATACGCCACTGAAGTTTAAGAAGCAGTGAGACATGTGATTCTGAGAAAGCCACAGAACAGGCCCGGGACCTACTGCACGATGGCTTGGCACGTGCCGAGAACCACCGTCCCAAACGCTGGCCACTGCTTCCAGGCCCTGCTTGGTTTGCCGCCACACCTTCAGCTGTCGACCCCACTCCGGTGAGGTCACAGTCACTAAGGGACAGGTCACTTGCACATACTGGGCGTTTAGACCTGAGGCTGGCAGACTACACCCCACAGGCAGGAGCCAGCTTGCCGTCTGCGTGTGTGAGCGCGGTCTCGCTGGAGCACCAGCTTGCTGTCTGCATGTGTGTGAGTGTGGTCTCGCTGGAGCACCAGCTTGCCGTCTGCATGTGTGTGAGTGTGGTCTCGCTGGAGCACCAGCTTGCTGTCTGCATGTGTGTGAGCACAGCCCCGCCTGTTCACCATCCTGAGATGACTGCTTTCTTGGTATACCTGCCAAGCTGAGACAGCACAAGCTGTGAAGACTAAACTATTTACGCTGTATTTTACATTTCCAGAGAAAGCCTGCTGGCGTCTGGTCTGCACTAGCAGCCCACGGCTGGCAGGAGAGGCAGTAGTAAGGCTGCTTTCAATAGCCATGGAGAAACTCTTGTATCTCCCTTGTTCAAGGCCAGGATTAGGGTTACTCTGTGGGTGGAGAATGTCCCCAAATTAAGGCAAGCGGCCGGTCATCGGGAGAGCAGGGGACCATGTTGGCATGAGCAGATTTAAAGTTCTCCCTGCTGAAGCCATGATACAGGACACACTTAGCCCAGAGTAGTTCCTACTAGCGAAGTTCAAGGGTTCTTTTCGCCCTTCCTGTTTCACTGATACCAGACACAGCTTGGTAATTTGATCGGAATCAGGGGCCAGGGAGATGGAACAGTGGGATGATTACAGGCTTCTGCAACACGCTACCGTGAAGAGGAGAAGGCGCCACAGGGCAGGTGCCTCCAGGGATGCAAGCACGCACTCCTGCCTGCAGGTAACTGGCGTGACGGTGCGTACAGGATGATAGCGGCCTCGCGCACACACTAACAGCGGCGGCCCGTGGACCCTCTCAGCAAGGCCTTACCTTCGTAGCCAGCATCTGCTGCTGCACCTCGATCTGCTGCTGCTGGCGAGACGCCATTTCCTGGAGTTCGGCAAGAGTCAAGTCCATCCTGGGACTGTTGACCTGCAAACAGAACACACACACAGCCCCCTCAGAGGTCTACATGCACCGTTTAGAGGCATCACCTGAACCAACTGTGTCACGACTGTTCAGCCACTCTTCTTCTGCAACATCAAAGAGACCGTTAATTTTTATATCAACACTGACTTACTAAAGATATAAAACATCCTAATACACAGACCAACTTTCTTTTAAGTAGCATATTTAAAATTAAGTAGCTTCAACAGTCAGTGACCTAAACAGAACAACTTAGAAACACCTTGTTCTGCAGTTACTTTCTACTAAAAAAGTAGTGTTTGGTCACATCAAACACGGGAGTGGGGCACGGCAGCAAACCCGGAGTACAGTCACTGGGATAACCGTGAAAGAACACGACCCTAGCATTTAAAAAATTTCAAGATGCACTGGATCATCAGGAGGAAAAAGCGAGATGTCCACTCTTGAAACATCTGTTCACTGCATGCAGCTTGGTACGAACAGCCAAGAACGGGGAACAGCCCTACGTCCATCGACAGGTGAGCTCGTGAACAAGCTGTGGTGTTTCCAGGCCGTGAAGGCCACTCAGCAATAAAAAGGAACTGACTACCGACTTGCACAGCCAAACAGGTGGACTGTGAAACAACTCTGCTGAGCACATGCAGACGGAAGAGCACATACATACTGCACGGTTCCACTTACAGAAGAGTCTAGAAAATACGGCTCATTGGTAGTGACACAGAGTGGACATCCTGGTGGTTCCTTGAGGGGAAGGAGGGAGGTCAGAAGGGAAGGGCACAAGGACACTGGGGTGTGACGGGTATCTTCACTGTCTCGGTTGTGGTGATGGTTTCGGAGGGGTGTGCAGTTATGTCAAAACTTCTCAAACTGAGCACTTGAAACATGTGCAGTTTCTCGTGTGTTGATCAGTAAAGCTGTTTTTAAAAAATGCCCCATGAAGGGAAAAGCAGGCATTATGCCAGGATGCACCCAAACCCTGTCAGTGACTGACACCACCCCTGCCCCTCGGATGGGCCCTGTGTCACCATCCCTGAGGAAAGGTAGGGTAGGAGCAAACGCTGCTTCAGGTCACCTGCATTCTAACGTGCGTTCTCTGTAGATGGCAGGAAGGTAACTTAGCTAATCCCCGACAGTATTAAAAGTTCTGAGCTCCAAAAAGAAAACATGTCAAGGAACCCCAAAATGACTTGCTAACACTCTCGGACAATAGTGAAAGCGTGAATATATAATTTTCCATTTTTCTAGAAGCATTATAGTAACAAATAAAATCACCCCAAAACAAACACTTCCTCACGCATGCTCTGCATTTGTTTTGTTCCGAATTTATGGTATAGTCAGCATTGAAGAGATGGTCAAAATTAACTGTAACTAGGAAATAAGTACAAAATAACCTTTAAAAAAAGGGCCATCCTTAATAACCCACTGAGTGACAGAGTAACAGTGAGGGAGGTGACAGTTCAGAGAAGCGTGGCCCGTGGCACGCAGTTGGCCGGGCAGCCGCGCTCACTTACGCCGTTCTCCTTCCTTCGGTGGTCACCAGGGGCTTTCACTCCATTTCTTTTCAAAGCTGGATCCTGAGACCTCGGTCCACTCACTAAACACAAAGTTCAGAAACTGTGCATCAAACCAGAGCTACCAGACACCCACTCCAAATACCAGTTTCCTTCTTAGTTCTGTAACTGTTGCCCTCTGATATTTTAAGTTGCAAGTCAACTTAAAACAAAATATTGTCTCGCATCAACAGCATTAAGGTCTCCTGATTTCCTGTTCTGGAAAACCTCACTTGGAGCAGTGAATAGTGAGCTACAGAAAACACCACGTGCTAACTATTCCCCAGGAAAGCCACATGATTCAGAGACCAGAGGAGGGAAAACTGACAAAATAAATGTAGTTCTGATTATGGGTCATTCACGCTGTTTGCTTCTAGAAGCTCCTCCTCGTTCTCTATGGTGACTACTCAGTAGTGACATCAGGAATAGTTTCACTGGAAGAATTAAGTGGAAACTAAATCAATCCACTCCTGTGCTCATTAACACTGTTTTGTAACCTAAACAGGAAGGAAGCAATTGACAAGAGAGTATATGGTATTTCAAATGTGTGTCTTATCGAGAACATTTTGTGGTAACTCACAAGTACTGTGAAGTACTTCCCCATTTATTTAAGTAAAAAACTTCCATTTTCTTAGTTTGGGAAAGTACTAACTAAAAAACGTCGTATTCTGCTTTTCTGGCTAAACGTAATGTTTCGAGCCAAAATATATGGGCCCCTCAGTATCACCTAATGTCATAAGGGAACAATAATCTTAATTTAAACTGATACATCATAAGAAACAAGTAATATCAACAAAGACAATTTTTAAAATACATAAAATTAAGCTTATATTTGTACCTCCAGAAATTAGAAAAATTATACAATTATCTCAAGAAATTTTGGATTAAAATTTCTTTTGAAGCAAAGGTCTGCAGTGCCTGTCTAGAAGCTGAGCGTCAATTCCCACACCAGTAAATGCAACGTCCCCCGAGCCAGGCGTCACACTTTTGCCTAACGCTCACGTGCCAGCTCTGCTTTAAAAACTCTGCTCGAGTCCCTGAGGAAACGGCTCCGGTAACCGTCACACCAGTCCTGCAAGAGGAGCCCAGCCACCCTGTGAGAATGACTGCTTCCTCTGCGGCCTCGAAGCGGCACTCCTCTCAGCCGCCTCTCCTCGGCACCTTCAGCTGCACAATTAGAGCAAAAGGCAAGCACTTTAAAAATAATTTCACCCACGTTCTGGCTGCCGAGCCCACTGCAACCGGGAAAAGAAGGTCGTGACAGCCTCCTGATCCCCAGTCCAGACCTCTGCACTGAAGAGGTGACGGCCACCGTGTGAAGGGACGGGCCCAGCGGCCCTGTTCTGCCCCAGTCTGAACACTACGTGGCACTGGCGTTCTGTGACCACGGGAGAAGTTCCTTTATCTTTGGATTGTATTTCTCACGTTACGGACACACTGAAACAGCACATCGTGCTCTTGAGAGGCTGTTAATAATTTACCCAGGACTGTGCGGAGAAGACATTTGAACTGGTAGATGAACAGGTAAAATTCAACCCATTCATTTAGAAGGGGATGCATGCAGCAATGTAAGCAAAGAGCAAAATAAAAATAAGATGCAGATGCCAAATTAAAGCTACAAAAGAAGGTGGCTTCAGGAGGAAACATGTGCTCATTTAAATTAAGCCCACAGGTACGAGTCAGGTGGGAAGGTGAGTTCAAGGCCAGGCACAGGGGACCCAAGTCCACTCCCAGCAGGCCAGGCGCTGCCTCCAGGTATGTGACCTCTGACACATCATTTAACCTGGAAAGTGTCAGCGTTTCTCATCTACAGAGTGGGAGAGGCCGGTCAGGTCGACTTTGGGGTTCCCCCCAGTCTAAATTTAGTGATTTCTAATTGTTGGGTACCATACGCACATGTGAAACTGCATGACATCTGACAATTAACATCTGTTATCTATGCTCTCACTCCCAAGTATTACATATATGAAAATCACCAACCCTCAGCCTCCCGTTTTAAAAGTTCTAACATTTTCAGAAATACCAATAACCCACTTCAATCAGTTGGCTTCCTGCTGAGAACAGAGCTTCCCACGGACCTCAGATTTGAAAGTGCTTACTCTCTCCCACATGCTATGAGACCTCTAGGGTCCCAGGGACGGTTGTATCCCCAATGTCTGGTGACACTGTCAGCCTACTCCTTCTCCACTGTCGTGTACTGTCACCTACAAACTCCGGTCACAAACCTCATCACTAGCAGTGACCACTGGACCTCCTGTTCCCTCCACCCCGAGCCCCGCCTTCCCTCTGGGTGGCTCTCCCACCCACGGGTGAGCTCTCTGCTCTGTGGCTGCCCCATCCCCACTCAGCCTCAGGCTCGTCTCACGACCACCCTGAAGCCCCCACTTCTGACACCTCGAATTCCAACCTTCTACTTTTGACCTCAATTCCTCCTCCTATGCCCCTTCACTAATCTGATTGTCACCTCTGGACCCTGTCTGCCCTTCCCCCTCAGCCCCTCCTGCCTTTACTTCTTCCCCGTCCAGCTGAGATGTCATCTTTCCCAGACCCTCTTCACTGGCCCCACTGACCTTGCACTTGACCATTCTGGCAGTACTCTGACGCTGGGTCACTTCAACCACCTTCCCCCTCCTATAGCCCTGCAGGCTGGAGGACCGTCACCAGCGGTCCCCAAGCTCTCATCAGTCAGCTGGCCTCCGTGGCTCCGGCCGTCAGCTTCCGCTGGGGCTCTCTCCTGTCCCTCCCAACGGCTCAGACTGCCCACCATGACCATGGTCACTTCAGGGGAAACATGTCTTCCAGTGGGAAGTTCCTCAACTTGCTCCCAGAGAGTCACGCATCTACCTGCCTCTGCCACAGTTTTCCCTGTCCTGTTATCACGGGAGAGGCTCTCTCCTCCGCCTCGAGAACCGCTCGCCGGGGGTGAAAGTTCACCCATCGAAACTCCCTCGCTTTCCTGCTCTGCAGCCTCCTCCCCTCCTGCACTAGGAACACTCATGAAACTTCTCCGTCTTCTAAGCAAACAAAACGAGCAAGGCCACCCCCTCGTCTCCACCCTCCAGACGGTCCAGGCTTGGCCAAGCGGTCTCTCCGCCCCATCCCCACTTAGCTCTCCTCCGCCCCTCCCACTGCCTGGCTCCACTCCACTGCCTGCCATCGGAATTCAGGCGCGTGTCATGCCCCCAGAATGCTACCTACCGACGTCCCTGCCGGGGGGGTGTTCGTGACGGAGGAAGAAGCGCACTTCATTCCTCTGACTCCCGAACCTCTGCAGGACGTCGAACATCCGCTCGTTGTCTGCGACCGGGCGTTCTGGAACAGAGAGCGTGTTATCTAGACATCGTGCCAATTACGCCCCGGGAATGCAGAAAGTATTTACTGGTCGTGCGTTTTCACCGACGGAGCCCACAGAAGCAGAAATATCCCAGATCCCACACACACCCACTCGGTGTCCAGCCTGGCCGATGACCAGCTGCGCGGGGCTGGAGCCTGCCCAACCCCACGGGCTCCTCGCTGGCCGCCCGCCTGCCACTCAGCCCCCGGGGGCTGTCCGTCTGTCACGTGGGGTTGTGACCTTTCTGACTCTAATGGTCCCAGGAGTCTCCAGATAGATACTATCTGTTAGACTATTTTTAAATTATAATTTTAAAAACTATGTTAAAAAAAATTAGATATGTCCGTTTCCCAACAACAGGCTACTTGCTGCACTGAAAACACACCCCCCTGGGCCCCCAGTGACACGGCCAGGTATCGGGGCTTTTCCACAGACAGAAAGCAGGGCTCAGTGGGACACCCTAAAAGACGGGACTTCAGGAGAAATACATCTTGAGCTTCCACCAAAAAAAATCTACCAGTCTCAAGGGACCTGGATTAAAAACCAAATACACCACTGGAGGACGCAACTAATTAAAACTTAAAAATAAAACAAACTCCAGTAATGTCAACGACACTTCCAATACAAGATGGACTAAGGAAACTCAGCACCCTTGTCGGTAACCAAAGACACTACCTAAGTGCCGTAAATAAACGGCATGGCAGAAAACGGAGCTGCCGGGCACGCAGCAGCCAACTTTGTGAACGAACCTGACCTCGATCAGCCTGGTTGCAACGCTGTGTGTCTCTGGTTCTATTTACAGGAACGTGACAGACTGAGGTGACACAGACGCCCCTCTTCTATAAACCACAGAAACTCTAACTGGGACCCCCCAAGGGACACTCACAGATGAGCAGACACCCCTCAAAAGACACTGAGTAGACCCTCCACCTCCTCATTCACACTCACACTTGTATTCTTTATTTAGAAAGAAATAAAATCCCCACATCCCAGAAGCGAAGAGACAACTCAAAGAAAGGGAAGCAATTTCCAGTGCCTATGGGGTCGGACCTTCTGGTCATGGCCAGCAGCTGAGGCCCCGATGGCCGATGCTGGCAGGAGAGCAGGCGTGGCCTGCACAGGCGGCAACGCTCTGCAAAGGTTCCCCGAGGCCCCCACTCACACCTCCAGCCACGCCCATCTCCCGGTCACAGCCCTCATGCCTCCGAGACTCTGCACGTGCCCTTCCTCACACTGACGCTCGCCCCCAGCACCCTCTTCTCCTCCTGCCGGTGGAGCACGTCCGGTGGAGCACGTCCATCCGTTCCTGCAGTCAGCACGTCCAATTCTAAAGGGCTGCTGAAACCTGCTTCAACTGGAAGGTGGAAACTTTCATCTCTGTGTCCCTGCCCGCAGAGCGAGGCCCCAAGCCCGTCACAGGAATCCGAGAAATGTTCTCTACGCAAGCATCCGAGTGGGCAGCAAGGGAGCAGAGACGGCACGGAAAGGCTGCTGGGTGTAAAGAAAGTGTCCGTGGAAGAAGATAATTAACCAGAGAAGCTAATAAAATCAAAGTTACATGTTTACTCTTATTTACATGGGGCACTTGGGACAATTTACAGCAAAACGGGGGCAGGACGGGGGCGGCAGTTCAAACGTAACAGCTACCACTTCCTGAGAGCTAACACCCAACATACCAGGGCCTGTGCTGAGCCCGCTGCAGTGTCACACGCTGGAAGCCTCTGAGACAGGCCCACTTATCACCCCAGTTCGGCAGACAAAGAGCTGGAGGAGCACAGGGACGAAGTGTCCTGCCTTCGGTCACAAAGCTGGTGACAGACACAGACTTCAGATGCCCAAGACCTCACTCTTGACCATACCACACAAACTTAACCCTCAAATTAGTGACGGATTCACTGCAGTCAATCAAAATCCCAACAGAGCTGTTCACCGACCCTTCCAAGGTAATTCTAAAACATGTCTGAAAGAGAAAACAGACAAGCACGGCTCAGGTATTTTTTGAAGAGGCAGAAGAATGAAATAAGCACTTGCCTTACAGACTATAAAACTGGAAAACTCAGCATGTCACAAAACCCAACATATTAGAAAACTATAGTCATTAAAACTGGCTGTGCCCTCAACAGGGACCTAAAAACAGAAGAAATGGCCACAGCTCACAGGAACGTCCCTTGGCAGCAGACGTGACGCGGGACGGGAGGTGACCTGCGTCTCAGGAGAACGACTGACTGCCCGGGAGGCACATAACAAGACCCCCTGCCCACCTGGGAGGAAAGCTGAGTCTCCGTTCAGGCCAGTCACGGAAATTAACGAGGAGGAGGAGGGCGGGCAAGGGAGGGAAGGAAGGAAGAGACTCTAAACCTTTATCATGAAGTAACAGCAGACAGTGTTTACGGTCTTGGAGTAAGGAGAGAATTTGCCCACAAACAGGAGAATCTGGCCTGAGGTCCAAATAGAGTATTTTTTTATTTGTTTTTTTTTTTTTTTATGCCTACAAATCAAGAGAGAAAAGGCAAAAATCAAAGGAGACCTGAAAAGGGGCAAATGAGAAACGATTTTTAAAAAATGGAAACCCAAAGGGCTAATAAAGAAGTTTAAAAACGGTCAGTATCAGCCTAGCTAAAATTAAGATATCACTGTATCAACTGTTGATGAGGAATACTTTTAGAAATCACTGGTAGACTGTCAACTTACACAGCCTTTGCTGAGGGAAATCGAGCATTGCATTGAACTTTAAAATGCACGACCTTTTAACCGAGCAATTCCACTTTTGGTTATCTACCCTAGAGAAATGCTTGCAGCATTTATAAAACCAAGAGCAGAATTAATTTAAATGTTTATGAATAAGGAAACTATTAGATCAACCACAGTTTATGCAAACTATGAAAAATTAGGGACTTAAAAATAACGATGTAAACTTACACATCTTAGAAGATCTCCACGCTGCTCTTTTCTGAGGACTTCCGCCAAGACAGAGGCGTAGGTGGAAGCACCGCGCCTTCTCACACAACCAAGTTTAAAAACAACAAAGTTTTAGCAACAAAACGCAGCCAAACCACAGAAAATTGAACTACACAGAAGTCTGACAACAACGAACCCTTCAGCCAAACCAGTAAGAGGGGCAGAGCCAGCAGCAGAGCGGGGTCGGGCAGGAAAGATCCACTGGACTGACCGGAGCACGCAACCCAGGCCTGATGGGAGCCATAGGCAGATCCCAGGTGTGGAATAGTGGGCAGACCCACTGAGGGCACAAGGCGGTGGACCCACTGAGGGCTGACCAAAGTCACACAGTCGAGCGCAGATAAACTGGTAAAGGAGCGAAGCAGTGAGACAGACCGTGCGGTGAGACAGGCCCCAGTGGCGGAAAGTGGCAGAGGGGACCGCCTTTGTCCCTCTCTGACCCCGCCCCCACCTACAGCGCCACAAACCAGCGACCTGGGTGGCCCCGCCCTGGTGAACACCTCCTCGTAGGTAACAGGCACCAACAGATCAAAACATGGCTCAGGAACAACTCAGAGTCCCAGAGCCGATAAATCTAAGCGATGAAGGAATAGCCAAACTTTCAGATGCACAGTTCAAAACACTGGTGATTAGGATGCTCACAGAACTGGTTGATTTTAGTCACAAATTAGAGGAACATATGAAGGCTAAACTAATTGAAATGAATGGCAATGCACAGGAAACCAATTGTAATGGAAAGGAAACTGGGACTCAAATAAAAGGAGTGGACCAGCAAAAGGAAAAAAATGACCAAACAGAAAAGGATGAAGAAACAAGAATTCAAAATATGAGGAGAGGCTTAGGAACCTCTAGGACATCCTTAAACATTCCAACATCCGAATTATAGGGGTACCAGAAGGGTAGAGGAACACCCACGAGTGGAAAACTTATTTAAACAAATAATAAAGGAGAACTTTCCCAATCTGGCAAAGGAAAGAGACTTCCAGGAAGTCCAGGAAGCTCAGAGAGTCCCAAAGAAGTTGGACCCAAGAAGGAACACACCAAGGCATACCATAATTACATTAGCCAAGATTAAAATGAAAGAGAAAACTCTAGAAGCAGCAAGAGATAAGGGGACTGTCACCTACAAAGGAGTTCCCATCAGACTGTCAGCTGATTTCTCAAAAGAGACCTTACAGGCAAGAAGGGGCTGGAAAGAAATATTCCAAGTCATAAAATCCAAAGACCTACATCCAAGATTGCTCTATCCAGCAAAGCTTTCATTTAGAATGGAAGGGCAGATAAAGTGCTTCTCAGACAAGATCAAATTCAAGGAGTTCATCATCACCAAGCCCTTATTATATGAAATGTTAAAGGGACTTACCTAAGAAAAAGAAGATAAAAAATATGAACAGTGAAAGGACAGCAAACTCATAGTTACTAAGAACCACACCTAAAATGAAAGCAAACCAAGAGGACAGCCAGATCAGGAGCAGAATCATAGAAATGAAGATCTCAAGGAGGGTTAGCAACAGGGGAGTGGGAGGAGGAGAAGGAGGAGAAGGTACAGAAAATAAGTAGCAGAGACAGTAGATGGAAAATAGGGGGGAGGGTAAGAATAGTAGGGGAGATATAGAATCTAAAGAACTTGAGACACGTGTTCATGAGCTAAAGGGGGGAATGGTGGGGGAGGGGTGTGCAGGGTGGAGGGGAATGAAGAGGGGGAATAGAACAACTGTAATGGCATAATCAATAAAAGAGTAAACAGCAGGATATGAATATGTATGACACGATTTACATAAATGAAAAACGGAAGAAGAAACAACCCACAGAACTGTTTCTGCAGCTACAGAGGGAAGCCTGAAAAGCCATTTGCTAAAATTACAAGCATTCAGGTCCCATGATCAGGGTCGGGTTTGGGGGAGAGACTTCCACCCCATTTGTAGTAGTTCCTCTTCTACAAAAAAACCCCAACAGATTCGCCCATCTGATGGCATCATCTGTGCTGTTTTAATTTAAAAAGGCAGAAGGAAAAAAATCCATCATCATCATCACACGCCTTGGGTGAGTGAGGGAGGAACGGAGGAGAGGCCTCAGGGGTCTCGAGCATGGGAGCCCCGGCAGGAGGAAGAAGAAACCAAGGACGCCTACGGGGTGGCTCAGTCACCTCAGTCAAGTGTAAGGAAGGCGCTCTGCTGAAAGCGAGGAGGCGACGGAAGCGCTCACTCGTTCAGTCAGTGACCGTGACTGCGTGTGGCTCCTGCTACCCACACGCAGGACTCTCCCTGAGAGGGGCGCGACCAAGGTCAAGGCGAACGAGGCCTCTCCTCCTAGGGAGTCCGCACTCCCAATGCACGGGTTTGGGGCGGGAGGGGTCAACAAGGCAATGAAGGAGGAGGCATGCACAGAGTGCAGTGTCTACACAGAGGGTTCGTCAGGACAGCGGAGCAGAGGACTTCACAGATATTCCAGCGGGTGCGCAGGAAGAGCCTGCAGGAGGAGGTGACATTTTAACCGAGACCCCGATGACCAGAAGGACCACCAGTGACAAAATCTGGAGGGAAGCAAGCCAGGTCACGGGGACAGCTAGTGCCAGCAGCTCTAGGGTGGGCCAGGGCTGAGTGCAGTTTGCTCCGGAACAGAAAGAAGCCGCAGCAGGGGCAAGGAGCAAGCTGGTCCCAGGTGACAAGACAAGGCCCTCTGAGACCTCTGGGTGTTACTCTAAGTAGCACAGGAAGCCTCTGCAGAGGGTCCGCAGGAAAGCCAAAGTGTCGGGCTTCCATTTACAAAGCACCACTTGGGTTGCTTTATGCAAACGGTCCACTCTGGCTCCTAGTGAAGGTTAAAAGAGTAAGTAACCCAGGGAGGCGAGGACCTTCCAGCACACCCACCAGTGGGAGAGTCAGCCAGAGGGGAGAAGGGGGCACACATGGTAAGGGCTGGGCGTGCGGCTGAGGTCCAGTTTCGCCGCTGGTGTGGACCCAGTGAGCGCAAGGAGAACCAGCCTGCACCCCCAGAGGACGAACAGAAACACCGGGTGCTCAGATGGGCATGCAGGACAAAGGTGGAGCTCGGGAAAAGCCACGCCCACACCTGCAAACTCCTAAGGGCCCAAAAGAAACCAGGCCACCCCATTTCAGAGGGATTGGTTTCAAGGCCTAAAATAATGCCTATGATTTCACGGCTGCTTCCCGCCACCTCGTAACTCAACACTGAATAGCTCTCCCTAAAAACCTACAAAAACCTCAGGGAGGGCGAACAATTGGGAGGCCTCGGATTTCCAATTAAGCAGAACCTAAGCATGCAAAAAAAAATACTCAGGAGCACCGCACTGGAGCTTCCAGCTGGTAGATCAGCTGCCTGCCCTCTCACCTTTCTGCTGCAGTGACTTCCCTGTACAGCAGAGAAAGAAAAGAGCAAGAATTCCATGCCACCAGGAAGCTGGCCGAGAACTGGATCTCCTGGTGGACGCACTCTTCTACGGCCTCTCTGTGGACGAACGTGAGCATCGCCCTCCGCCACGGCCCAAACCCAGCAGTAATAAAAGGCGCGTAAGGAAGGCACCAGGGTGCCAGTGCTCCTACCTGAGCCGCACCACACTTCGGCCAGGTGGCACTCGCTCTCGCCGGGCTCCTTGCACAGGTCCACCACGTCTCTGCATATCGTTTCCGGGGTGACGGGCACCTCTGTGAAGTGCTGCTCGTTGTTGCTGAGGTACACGGTGAGAAACATCTGGGCACAACGACAGAAAGCACAACGGTTATCAAGGCTCTCTGCACCGGCGCTCTGCACCGGCACCGTTTTACTTTTGGTGCGCCTCTGGTTTCTCTCCCCAGTCTCAAGTGCAAATGTTCAACAGCAAGGTCTGGCTGACCCCTGGCCCACTCGAGGGGGAGGGACCTGAAGTCCCTGCCCCCTCGAAAGCAGAGCCAGCAGAGCCTGGAGTGCAGTCAAACGGGTCCACGTGAAAGGTCAAACTGAACCATTCTCTGACATTTCACCTGTGCGACCTGTCCACCAGAGACTTACATAGCTCTTAGTGTGCGCCACATGCACACAGAGCTTCCTGGCAGTCCTGTGAAGGGACCAGGATGTCACCCACACGGTCTATGCACAGCCCCTTTTTAGAAAGACACAGAGGAACGTACTGTGCTGCCCCTGAGGGAAGAGGGCCAGCCAACGTTTATTCCATGCACATGTATCACCACTTCAAAAACCTGTGTTTTTAAACCTGAAACGTTTTAATCAAGTTAAATACCCACCGTAAAGCACAGCTTCACCAACCTGGTATAAGAAGAAATGATCGGCTACTATGCTACCCATACCTGACCTTGCAGATAAACACTCAGCCAGTAGAGGACTGAAGGGAACCTGAGCCTCCACTTCTTGCAACCATAACTTAGTCCCCATAAAAGTATATAACACAGAAGGTACCCAGAAAAATCAGTACACATAGAAGGCAACCCAGTATAACTAGAAGTAATCCAGGAAAGTCACAACAGTGGATTCTGTTGAAACAATGAATAAAACAAGTGGAAATAAAAAAAAACAAAAACCAAACACACTGTAGTTTCCCTGCACGAGGCCAGCATCTTTCTAGCTAATGATACTGGGTTCTGCGCATTCTGATACATAGTTCTAGGCCTTGACTTGGCCAACAAGGCAGCACTTTAAAACTGTTACACAAACATTGCAAAGAACAGACAAAAATAACAAAGATTAACTAAGCTCACAGAATTCCACCTGCTGCTGCTCTGGCAAAGTATACAACCTATTTAACAAGAAAGGTAACAATTTACACTTTAGTATGAAATTGTACCTTCTCTCCTCTATATTCCCACTCATACCAAAACTTTCTTTGAAGCTGAACACTTCAAGAATAGTAATTGTTTTCACTGTAAATATCGAACTTAGAGGTGTGTATTAAATACAGCAGTATTTAATATACAGTCTGCCTTCCAAACACACTGTACCAGCAAACAAAACGCTCTTGCTCCCAAAGGTAAGAGTGCCCCACCTGCCAATGTCACCACTCAGAGCGCTTTCACACTGTCTCAGAAACGCCCATCACCTCTCAGAGAGGCAGGACAGGCATTATTTTCTCTTTATAAATAATAATAAAGGACTCAGAAGATCTACTTGGCTACTAAAGGAGAGAATTAGGGTACAATTTTGTTCTTCCGATCCATCCTCTATCCTTTAAGCTGTCCCTTAGAGCAGGAAAATATTGGGGTGGCCAAGAAGTATGTTGGGTTTCTTCCATATGATAGATGACTCTAGTAGCACTTAGTTGCCTTTACTTCATTCGAAACAATTTTGTTAGATTGTACTGTGACAGCTGGGATATCAGGGTGCATTTTTTAAAAAATCAAAATTGGTGAATTTTTGTGTAGCCATTTTAATAGTGAAGATGGAAGAAAATATGCAACATTTTCAGCATATTGTGCTTTATTATTTCAAGAAAGGTCAAAATGCAGCTGAAACACAAAAAAAGGTTTGCGCAGTGTGTGAAGAAGGTGCTGTGACTGATGGAACGTGTCAAAGGTGGTTTGTGGAGTTTCATGCTGGAGACTTCTCACTGGACAATGCTCCACAGTTGGGAAGACCAGGCGAAGTTGATAACAATCAAATTGAGACATTAATTGGAACAACCAGCTTTATGCCACGTGGAGATGGCCAACATACTCAAAATATCCAAATCAATATATTGGTGAAAATGAAAAATGTGCCTTTTATTCTACAGAAAAAAAACACAAAAACTTGTTGGCCAACCCAACATTAGGAAATGCTCTATTTAATCACAACAACCCAAACTTTAATAGAGATCTGGTCTTTTACTCTCCGGAAAACAATAGCTTCATTTATTTAAAAGTGTAATTACAAATACCAAGCAAGAGGTGATGCAAAAAAAAACACACCAAAAACCCAGAATTATCTTCTGGAGGGCGGGCCTCTTGTAGTACAGGCTTCCCCCACTAGGTGAGTGTTCCCATCTGGATCAGTGTGCCAGCTGGTGGTGTTGTGAGAAGCTGCATTTGGCTTCAGTGAATTTTTTTTTTAAGACTCTTTTCGACACCTTTGCCCATTTCATGACGGGTGGTTTACAAGTGCACCTATCCACACCAGTTTAGCAGTTTTGTCTTGTTTTTTACCAAAAACAGCATGACCCTTGTGCCCCACCCTCCCTTTTCACCTAATCTCTATCCAAATGACTTTTTTTGTGTTTCCCTGGATAAAAAAAAAGCCCTCAAAGGGAAAAGTTCTGCTGATGTGGATGAGGTAAAACAAAAAACAGCAGAAGCATTAAAAGGCATCAAAATCAACAAGTTCAAAAACTGTGCTGAACACCGGAAAAAACATCTCAACAGGTGTATTGCGTCAATTAGAGAGTACTTTGAAGGTGACTGGAGTTTAAACACATAAGAACACACAATTTTTTAATAATAAATTCCATTTTTGAGGGTGTCCTCGCTCGTAAGAATGATGAGAGCCGTGTTCTGTTTAAGATCGCTGTTCCCCAAAGAAACCACAGAACTAATCCTGGCGTGAATGGCAGGTACATGAGCCGACCCCGCTGCCACCTTTCCTGTATGAAGACTAGCTCCACGCTGACTTTACTAACTCAACTGACGTCCTCAGTGCTGGGCCAGCTGTGACATTGCTGCAGGTCCCCGGGGCAGGGGACTTGGGTCCTGACCCCAGATTTGTTAATAATTACTTAGACTACCTTAGGGACATACCCATCACCTCCCTGAATCTCAGCCTCCTCAGCTTCAAAATAAGAGTCTCCAAGTTCCCTAAGAGCTGCCTCTTATTTCTGCTGCTTATTGGGCATCAGAGTAAAAAGCCGCCGCCTTTACAACAGCCTATGGGTTAGACACTGGCCATTCAGGCGTGAAGTGTGAACCCGAATGAAGGCAGTGGGGAGGAGGGCAGGGAAAGGGGGCAGATCCACTGGGAAAGACAGGCTGTGGTGACAAAGTGAGGGTGGGGGCGAAGGGGCGTGGGCAAACCAATCAGCCAGGTGATTGATGAGAAAGAACATTCTGGAAGAAACCAGGCTGCTCTGTTTCGGGGTGGGAGGTGGTCAGGCAGGGGAGAGGTGTGGACTGCTGCCTCCGCCCACCCCACCCAGCCCTCGTCTCCTGCCAGCGCCCTGCGCTCTCTCCGCTCCAGCAGCGCACCCCTCGCTGGCCCTCACATTCCAGGCACGGTCTCCTCTCAGGGCCTGTGCACCCGCTCCTGCTCCTCCAACTGCGATGTTCCTCCCTGCAGGCCACCGGAGCTGGCCCCCTCCAAGGCACCTTTCTTCAGTGAGGCCTTCCCGGGCCACCCTCCCCAGCACCCCAGCGCCGCCCAGTCTCACACGGGCGCCCACACACATCCCGCCTTACGTCTCCGCGGAGCACAGCCACCACTGTGTTATCTGTGTTTAGTCACTGCGTTTATTTAACTCGTTTCCATTATCTGTCTTCCCCACCCGAACAGCCCAGGGTTTCACTCCGTGTCCTCGGCACCACCAACGTGCCTGGCACGTAACAAGCGAACAGGAAGTATCTGCTCACGGGTAACGAGTTCCCGGGCTGTTGCTGCACTTCACAGGTGTGCCTCTGGTCAACCTGCACGGTGGGTCTGCCCTCGGGGGTGTGAGTGGGAGCTGGGTCCCAGGGACACCCGTGTGTCCTCCCTCCCTCCTTGAGAAGTTTACACCATGCTGCTGTCACTCAACAGTCACAGGCGGTGCACTGTGTGAGCCAGTCCTCAGGCAGAACTAATGTTCGCTGCGTAGCTAGGGCAGCACACAGCACAGGCTGGGGAGAGGCAGAGGGCGGTGGAGAGGCAGCCCCCAGGGAGGGAGCCTCCTCCTCGCCCCCGCCCCAGCCGCTCCCTCCTCTTACAGCCCTGCCACTCCCCACCGGCCAAACCAGACCAGCAGCCAGTTGGCCTTGGGAGTTTACAGAAATCGGCCTCCTGGGGCACAAAGCAGGTGGGGAGAGGGGGAGGGTGACTGGAGGGCGAGCCAGAGCTGCTCAGCACAGCAGCGCTCCTGAATCCACGCGCACACTCAACACCCGCATGGTCGGACAGGGCCCCGGAGCAACGAGTCCGAGGGAGGGCACAGGCGCAGCGGGTGTCCCCAGCCCAAGAAACAGCAAATGGAAAGGCCTAGAGGAAGGGATGAGTGGGTCACACCAGTGGAAGAGAAAGGCAAAGGATTATAAAGACGTCAGTTTGAAGAGGCCAGACCACGCAAGACCTTACAGGCCCCTGGCCTTCAGCCCTGGTGGTGTGGACAGACGGTTGCTGACCACAGAGGCTGATTCAGTGGATCTGGGAGGGGGACTGAGATTCTGCGTTTCTAACAAGCCCCCCCTGCGTGATGCTGATAAGGCTGGTCTGAGAGCCACTGTACAAAGGCCAAAACAAGAACTTAAATTTTAGTCGGTGAGGTCATGGGAGGCAGACCTTTAGATTAGTGGTCTCCAGGGGCTGGAGGAGGGGCTTCTTTCTGGGGTGATGCAAATGTTCGGGAATGAATGACGACGGTTACCTTGTGCACACACGGAAAACCACTGAACTACACACTTTACGGGGTGAATTTGACGCTGTCTGACTTGTATCACCGCTGAAAAGGCCCACTACATGCTGACTTATGTGACCGAGAGGAAATCTCTCAAGGAAGATAAAAATGTTCGGATAAATCAGAGAACAACTTAGTGCTGCATTGTAGG